AAAAAAAAAGGAAAAAGAAAAACAACAATTAAGCAGGATAACCCATCAATAACTATAGCGTGGACTTAAACTTAGCAATAATATAACTTATACCATGAAAATTGATGTCGCACTGATCGGATATACCATTGAATAATTGACACATAGTATAAATCGGTGATTTAACTAATATATTAGTTCTAGGGGTTTTACAATAAAAAGTAGGCTTATATCTTGACTGGGCTCTTGGCACTGAAAATGAAAATTGTTGCAAAAGATAGTCACAATCAATTGAGTTATTAAACAGTTTACACAAAAAAGTTAACGCAGCGCAGTTTCTTCTGTCTGACAATGCAGGAAGACTGAAAGACTCGAGTAGAGTTAGATGATCAAATCCTCTGGGGGGATAAAACCCATTACATTTAAAATACATAAATTTTAGACATTTACGCTGTACGGATTCTATATGGTGGATAGAATTTTGATATATAGGAGACCAAATGATTGATGCATAATCCATTTTACTTCTAATAAATGTTACATATAAAATTCTAAGTGAATTTATTTCGGAGAACTCGCCCCAATTCCTAATAAAATATCCTAACAATCTGCAGGCAGAAGAAACAGTTTCCAGGACATGATTGTTGAAGGAGAGTCCCTTATCAAATATTACTCCCAAATCTTTATATGTATCACATCTCTCCAGTACAACTCCATTCAGTGAATAATCAAATATTATAGGATTAATTATAAGTAAATCAGGAAAAGACAAAATATATGGATGCAGCAAATGGATGCAAAGGGAATGGAGGAGGGTACCAAACATTTTAGGACCAAGGGGTATGTAGAGGTGGATGAATTTTGAGTGTTTACGAAAAAAATAGAAAAAATATGAAAAGTAATAATGACATGTACCTACGTTATTTAAAAGTAAATTTAGTAAAAATTGCAAATATTGCTTCTTTAAAATACAATTCACGATATAATCTAGTCATATGACGTTTCTGGAACCTTTAAAATAGAGATGAAAATTTTTTCATAAAATGGTCAATATCTTCCAAATCCAGTATGTCCTTGATTCACTTGTTAGATCTATGAATGAAAGACAATGTTATACAGTGGTAGTGAATTTTTAAATTCATTTATTAATTCCCTTTCTACGCGTTTTTACCAGCTTTGATTGCTTTATTCCTGACGGAACTACATCATACCCTTAAATGTCTTTATACGCGCAATTTGAAACTTCCCTGGCATTTACAATATCTCCGTAATTTTACCGTAAAAACTTTTCTATTATCTCGGCTTCGACTTCCACTTCTGGCCCTTAGGAGTTTTATTTATACCACTAAAAACTTGGCGAAGTCGTCATATTACTTCAACTTTAATCTTTCGATAACGATTTTTTAAATTTCGCCGAGCCGTTTTACTTTTCTACTTAATACCCAGGAGCGGAACGGACTGTATTAGAAAGTATTTTGCAAATACGTACTTTTTGAAGTTCCCGTAACGAGTAACAAGAGATAAGCGAACGTGACTTACATTAAACTTACTGACTCGAAAGGAAATTCAAGTTAAATTAGGCGATAACGAGGGAAAAATACAAAGTCAAAGCTGTAAAGTATCCATGTTCATGTTAAAAGACATCTTCACCGTAAAACTAGACAGGAAAACTTTAGGTGTCAGCTTTTCAAACGCGATTATTAATATAAAGAATCACTTGATACTTTGCAATGCAGAAAGAAAACAGCTTGTTGATTTTACTAAGGTGATAAAAATATGGTGGTCGAAGAGAAGTTGGATTTAAGGAGACATCTACAATTCTTTAATTATCTTAAGCAGGCTACAAATGGTGCTGTCACTAGCTAAACATTAGTCAAACACATGTTAAATATTTGTAGATTATTTGCCCAAAATTTCGTACATGTTAGTTTTCTATCCGTTTTCTGAGTGTACCATTATATTCCAATTTGACAAGTGAAGACATGCTTTCAAATATGTCGATATGCACCATCCACATGATACGGTATTTGTTTAAGTTTGACAAATATTTCCTACTACCACAGCATACTTCACTTGTTTTCATTTGGCATACAACTGACAAATAAGATGTTAAAAATATGATGGTTGAAGAAAAGGTGGATGCAGAGAGACATTTTATTCATTCTACAATTGTTTTGGAGACAACTGCAATGCTTGGTCAAAAAAGCAGACACTGCTTTGTGAAATGAAATCGTGAAAATAGGATGTTAAGGAAAAAAGTAAAGGGTTTCGGACCAGTATATAAAATTTGTGGTACGGTATTCAAATGAAACGCAGATCAACTTATATTTAATTATAAAATGGTAATGGTATATAATAGGGTGAAAAACATAAAAATTGTAAAATAGATACATTTTTAGACAGTTTCAGGGGTTTTAGCTTTAGGGTTTTCTTGATATTTAGAAAAAAAAGATGAAAGAAGGAAAAGAAAAGAGATGAAATAAAAAAGGAAGAGCTTTTTTATTTAATTTTTTTAGCTTGGCCAAGATTATTTTAATTAAAGTGATGATTTTGGCGCATTTTTTCACAGGTGGCAAAATTCTCAATAAACGAAAAAAAATGCTACCTTCAGAAAATATCTATTTTTTTTATTTTTCCAAATTTTTTAAATCTGTAGAAACTTAATCAGATCAACTTTTTGCAAGGAGTCCCACTGTGGACTCAAGATATTTGTGTCAAAGTTGAGAATCAGAGTTTGTTACTGACATTTCCTTTTCAACTCTTTTGTTTTTAGCGACTTGAATTTTTCGAGACAAAACGTCCGAATCTGGTTCCGGTTGAGGCAGTACAGTATTGAGGGTCATGAAGGCTTGCAAAAAATGTAATAAAATTATTAGGGTCGTATTTAAAAAATGAAGTTGATGATGTTCCTGGAGAGACGAAACGTTACATACAAAAATTGATTATGCCATTCGATAGAAGGCAAAAAGTGGCCATGAGAAAGTGTTCTTCTTTTTTCAATATCACCTCAAACAAGGCTGAAATCCAAAAACGGTTTTCCAAAATTACGTTTTTTTTTCAAATATTTCGAAAACTAATCATGTTAGCCTTGATTTTTTAGAGGCGTAATGTTGGTCCCCTGATTGCGCAACTTTGCCTCCATTTAAGATACTTCGTATCTCTTACGGTTTCCGAGATCCCTGTAGTGAGAAGCGAATTTGTAACAGCCTGTATATTTTCACACATTTATATAGAATGTTTTCTTAAAAGTATACAGTGATAAGGTTTAATTTTGATGAGTATATTTCTTTTAATAAGGGAGATACGGAACGGACAAGAGAGTATTCTGTATTCATAATTTGTTAGACTGTTGCCTGCAAAATAGCAATAATTTTTGACACATTCTTTTGATCGTATAATTTGGAAGTGATTCGTTTTTTTGAGTAAAATGAAAGGAATCCTTTTTCTTCGGAATCTTTGAAAAGTAGTTACGAATCAAACGAATTTATGGAACTTCCAAAATATTTAGTCAGTTCAGACAGTTCAGTTCAGTTACTAATTATTGTTATTGTATCATGATATCCAAATCCTTGTCTACTTAGAAACTTTTGTTCGGTATAAGTGAATAAATAACGTCAATTAAAAGTTGAAAATACATATAAACGTAGAAAGCACGGCA